GGGCTTGCTCAGAAAATTTGATTTTTTTTCTTGGGCTAGGGTTCGAACAATGGCAGATAATGAGTAATCGATTTTAACTGGTATGGTAGCAATTTGTGTAACATGGAGGGGTAAAATCGTACGAATCTTTTTTAATGAGGGTAAATTGGACTTTTATGAACTCAGGATTGGCCTAATCCCACCAAAAATTGGGGATGGATTAATCCCACTATCATGGGATAAAAGCAATTTTAATCCCGGGCCAAGAAATTTGTCCAGGGCCGAATCCTAGCAACCAAACATGGAATTAAAGCAGGATAAGGCGGGATATCCTGCCTTCGAGAAAAACAAAAATAACATTCATGCACCAACTGTAGCACGTGTGAGGACATGAGCTTGGCGGGTGCTTTGAATTATTGACCATGGCGACACACCGGGCCATAACGGGCCTCTTTATAGCGTTATAATAAGATGAAGTGAAGTGTACATTACATAGATAAGAAATATGCATAGCATTAAATGACGCCATATATTACTAAAAAAATTATTACCCTTTAAACTGGGTTTACAATGTGAGACAGAAATATGCATAGCATTAAACTTCTCAACTAAGCAAATTTAGCATTATCCTCCATTAATGAGACGATTTCGCATTATCCTCGTACACAGTGGATCACTTTCAAGGGCACCTTCTTTCGCAAGGTCAAGCCCACCATTTCCCTCATATCCAGCTCCTCTGACTCGAGGTCTCCGGCAAGCTTCCAGTCGAACACTTGCAGCAAACTAGCCACGGTCAGGCCCACCATTCTGTGGCCCAGGTTAACGCCAACGCAGCTCCGTCGGCCCGAACCAAATGGAATCAGATGAAACTGCTGGCCCCTGAAGCCCACATCAGAGTCCCAGAACCTCTCGGGCTTGAAGGACAGTGGGTCGGGCCACACAGCCGGGTCCTATGGATTGCCCATGCGTTGACAAGTATTTGTGTGTCCTTCGGCACAAAGTACCCCATCAACTCTGTATCCTCCATCGACTTCCTCGGCAGTAGCATCAGGAGAGATAAGTGTAATCGCAATATTTCCTCCACGGTTCCTTGTAGATAAGGCATCTGAGCTAGGTCATCCTCTTGGACTCTCCGGGTACGCCCCACGACCCGATCGATTTCTTCTTGGATCTTTTTCATCGAGCTCGGATGACGAAGCAACTCAGCCATTCCCCACTCAATTGTGGTTCCTGTGGTCTCGGTTCCAGCTAAAAATATTTCCTAAAGGATCCAAAGATATATCATTTAGTGAAAATTTATTTGTTTATTAGTTTCTTGAATTAATATGTAAGGAAAATTGCCAGCAGGACAATTGTGATATTCTTCAATGATAGCTTATCAGGGCCATCTTGATGAACTTCACCTTCACCCAACAACGTATCCAAGAAATCATTCCTTTTCATTCCCACACTGGACTCCCTCTCCCGAATCCTATCACTCACAATCCCGGACGCAAACCTTATCAACCTTTCCAAATACTTGCCGTATTCCTCCTAATTCCCTGTGGGTCGAGCCATCTCAGAAATGGGAAACAATCGGTCACGTTAGGCTTCCCTAACCATTCCACAAAGTTCATAAAGGCCTCGAAAAACTCGCGTGCCTCATCGAGCTTTGTCCTCATAACCTCCTCTGACAACAATATGTTCCCGACTGTATTAAAGACAGTAAAAAAGAGGAACCAGTTCAATTCAATAATCAGACCCTCGGATCTCCCGACTACGCTCTTGATCCGGTCAACCAAACCATCCACGCAACGCAACCTAGAGATGTTCACATAAATGTATTCAAAATTCCATCAATTAATTACGTCGGCTGATAATCTCATTCACTTCTCTGTCTCTCATTTACTATAATCATCCAATGCAAGTACACATCAATCCAAATTACTCCCCAAATTCCTAACTTTAATAGGATTTAACCTATTCAAAGGCATTTGGGTACGGTCTCGTTTTTGAATAACAAAGCAAAGCAAGAATATTGAGTGCACACGGCTGTAGGTTTCGGTAAATGCGCATAAAAAGAACTGATATGAAATCGGCCACAAGTTTGAATAGAATATGCATAAAACTTACAAAATTGAGGATGCAAAAAGCCGCGCCGAATTCGCAATCGATCGACACCAGACGCGCGCGGGATGACGGAGATATCGACAGAAGACCCGCGCGAGATGACGGGGATATCGACAGAAGACCCGCGCGAGATGACGGGGATATCGACACCAGACGCGCGCGAGATGACGGGGATTCGGGGTATAAACCCTTGGAATTGGCCGGAGTTTAGAGCGCGATTGCGCGACTGTACGGGGATTTGAGGTATTAACCCGTGGAATAGGGCAGAGTTGAGGGGATTGTACGGGGACTTGAGGTATTAACCCGTGAAATAGGGCAGAGTTGATGGGCGCGATTTTGATTTCTTTCTTGTCTGCGTTTATTTAAAGTCGCATTATTATCAAAACAACCAGAGCAAAGGTACTTGCCCTCAAAATATCTAAGCTAAGAAAAGATAAATAAGCACCCAACAATCATAACAAAATAAAAAAAAAATAAAAAAAAAAAATGGATTGGGCTATGAACTCGATGAATCCGCTCTCCAGCCTCTCACTCTCCCTCTTCGCAGTCCTCCTCCTTGGAATACTCTTCCTCCGCCCCAAGCCTGCCGGCAAGACCCCGCCTGGGCCCAGGGGCATCCCCATCCTCGGCAACCTCCTCCAGTTGGGTGACCTTCCACACCAGTCCATGCACCGTTGGCGGGCGCCCCACGGCCCCGTCCTCTGGCTCAAGCTCGGCTCCATCAGGACCATGGTCGTCCAGAGCTCAGCGGCCGCCGCAGAGCTGTTCAAGAAGCACGACCTCGCCTTCGCGGACCGCAAGGTCCCCGACGTGGTTACCGCATTCGACTTCAGCAGCGGGTCCCTCAGCATGAGCCAGCTCGGGCCCTACTGGCAGGCCCTACGTCGTCTCTGCTCCGCGGAGTTCCTCGTCA